ATGTTAATAAAACGATTATTGACATTTAGATCATATTCGCGTCGTTCAGGTTAGAGTCACTGGATGGTATTAGTTTGATAAGAGTTCGGACACAGCTCTTTTGTCCTTTTCTATTTTCTATAATACAATGGAACGCACGATGTTCTCTGAACATTATAGAGATTCCCTCTCGTGCGCTTCAAGCGATAAAAAAAAAGAATAAAACATATATTCTGCTCTTTGTCTTTTCAATTTCCCTAGAAGCGCCTGATTGTCAAATACGATTTTAGAGGTTATATTTTCTGTCAAATCAATCATAGCCGTAGATGGACAATGGATATAGGGTACAAAGTAGTACAAACACCCACTTCAATTTATAGTGATACACTTCTAGCAGAACAACTGTTATATAAATGAGAAGAATGCATGTACCAACGTTTTAATATTAGAAAATATACACATATGGATAAACTTATAGCTATAAATCCTTATTGTATGTCAAACTGTACTCCAGTGATAAGTATAAAACATGAAGTTATTAATATTTAATTAAAGGTAGGTATTCTCAATATACAGGAAGTAACATAAATACGTTCAAGTGAAGTATTCCTGAAACAATTTTAAGAAATAAAGTCTATACAAGCTTGTGTCCGGAAATGTTTCATTTCGGAGATACAGGGTGTTGAAACACAGAGAACAAATCATTTTTCGATAAACATTTCCTTGTAAAAATGTAGTTTATTTTGACGAGACCTACCAAATACATTTTTCTGTAAAGTTCTCAGCAACTTCACTTAGCGTCTTAGAAGCTATAATCATCTAAGTTACATGGATCGATATACCAAATACATTTTTCTGAAAAGCTCTCAGCAACTTCACTTAGCGCCCTAGGAGCTAAGCATCTAAGTATAACATGGATCGATACAGAAAATATCTCCAAAACCATAACCTCCAGCGTTCCCTTGATACATAAATAATTATTCACTTTTCACTGTTGAATTTTGAATTTGATCGGCATCAAAAACGCCATTCAATAATATATCACGTTGTAGTTTCCTTGCTTTTCTTAGTTTCCTCTTTCCATGATTATTTTGTTCTGTATATTCTGTGTGATGATAATAATGGAATTTTGAAATCGTCTGTTTTGTAAATTGATGGAATAGCAGATTCTCTCAAACAGATTTTGAAATCGTCTGTTCGAAACTGGACCTACAATATATCTTCCTTCCATAAGCGAATGGTTGATATTTGGAAAATTGAATAAATTATATCCATTTTATCAGATTTGGCACAATTTATTACACAGCAAGTGATTTCCATAACTGCTTTTTTCTCAAAAGTATAATTATTACATTTCATTTCAAATCTGACGTTCATAAAATTTACTGTCAAATTCAAACAATTATTTCGAATAAAAAGCGCGGGACGACTATGGTGCTATTGTCACAATGCAAGGTGTTTAACTTAATGAATCTAAACATTCAAAAGCCCTAACAGTTGTCATTTCTGTGTCCGAACTCTTATCAAACTAATACCATCCAGTGACTCTAGTTCAGGTCAACGGCATTCACGTGCAGGTAAGTATCACTCTCCTCACTTGTTAGGAAAATTACTATTGTGTACAAAATAGTGACATAAGAATTGAAGCCTCAGAGCATATCCAAGGACCAGTAACATACCCAAAATAAATCACCTCGTATATATCGCTTTCAAAGATTCAAATTCAAATTGATGACCAGTGTGCGGAGTGAAAAAAAACAGTACTTTCGAAATATCAAATCACCAAAACGGTATCTTCATTGATGCCGTATTTAATTTTCCACTGAATTATTTACCAAAGTATCAATAATTATAGACGGAGATGAGAATTACAGCCTGTTCTTCATCTCGGATCATTTGAATAATATATTCCTGTAATAAGAAAACTGACAATCAAATTTAAATAAATTACCTCAGCACAGTTACACAAGTATAAAGTAGAGTTTCAGCTTCTAAATTACGCTGTAATTTCCACAAATACATATGTAGATCTGATAGGAAATAAATTGATACCTACTATAAAGCTACCCTTCTATATCATTATCGGTCATTATACTATAGTCTAAAAATTGGTCTATTTGTCTGTTTAGCGTCATTGTACATAAATGCAGGGCCGCATCTAATGCAAAAGTGGAAACAACTATGGATATATCGAAATGAATTCGAATATGGAAATAGTATGTGAGTATGTGAGATTAGTTAGTTAACCGAGACGCAAAACGTCGAGGATAGCTATGATCTCGAGACAGGTGTATACTATTTTATTTACAACCATCATATGTCGAAGTATATATAGTAAGGGAGGGAGGTGAGGGTAATACCGCAAGAGGTTTTCATTTTATCGGATAAACTTTCATTTTACACGAAAACTTGGTTGCTTTGGTTATTGACGAGAGCAAATAACATGATAAAATCACAAACCGGCCCTGTCTGATATGAATGATAAAACGACAAAACGACCCCATGCACCTATTAGCCGACCTAACATTAAGTGTTCAATTCATAATAGATATATACTATAATAGATTGGGACATTGGGAAAACATAATTGCAGTTGATTGTTGTCCAATGACGATCCAATATAATGTCGAATGGGAAACGGCAGCCATTGTGCTTATTCAATATTCATATCACCCCTCCGGATGAAATCGACGAACACACACCATAAAATATATATGTGTATTACTTTGGATATCGATAAGATATAATTTCCTTCAAATATTGGAACCTAATGTGAACATATACAATCATCAGTTACGTACATTGATAATGGCCTTCCATTATTTTATGACCCTTGAATATTCATTCATTGAAATAAATGTGCATATAGTTACATCAATGAATGCTTTTTTTATTGTTCGCCAGTGTCAAAGGTAAAATTTCATTGTTGAAAGGAATAGATATTAGTTTCCAGTACTTCCTCTATAGCACACCACAGCAAACACGACAGAGTTGGCGATATGGTATACCCATTGTATACCGCTGACTATTCCACTCTTGTTTTCCAGAGGAAATCAGAATCGACCATTTTCACGCGGTTTCTCCTGTATTGAAGCGATTTTTTTCTTCACTAAAAATACAGAAGCCGAATCGACCTACACGTAACGAAGGAACCTCGTTTTTCAGCGATAAAACTTCTGTCGTATATAAAGTCATAGTTATAATAAGTATTATATTTTGATGTCACAGATTTCTGTATTTTCATTCATTGAAACAACGAACTACGAAACAATGACCTTTGTTTGAACACACAACTACAGTTAAATAGATGTTACATTCCTTTACATAGACATTTGAAATAACAAGTACTTCTTCATGATGATAACCATTATAACTTATGCAAGACACTGTTCCAGATTTCGGCTTCAACAGGTCCAAATCTGGCATACTTTTCGGACTTGCGTCCGGTCTATGCTTGTACAGGGCGATCAATTGGGCAACATTTTTTGATGGCATCAGGTTTTTTTGCCGGTGATTGTATATCCATTACTACTCATTTCCATATGTTGTTCTTTTGTTGCGCTGGTATCACATCACATTTTGTAAAAATCTATGTGAATCAAAATATCATCATTTTTAGGGTATTAGGTACTACTGGAACATAAGTATTGGCAGGACGGCATATTATGTTCGACAATGTATAAACAAGTGATGTGTTCCATAGGTCTTATTCCATTTTACCATGTGTCGTCATGGTGAGATGTGAAGTAAACACTTTGTATATTTCAAATACAATTTCAAGTTATAATTCTCAAACTTTAATTAGTATTACTCAATTACTTATATACACTGATTATGACTATACTTATACCGGGTGACCCGGAACCAATTTACCCCCCTGTATCTTCGTTGTTATTTTGTATGGATGTTTCATATTCGGTACTTCGATTCGATGTTATGAATGTACAATTTAGCAAGTATCAATCCAAATATGTCACTTCCGGTTTGACCGGAAGCGCATCCAATTTTTATATTCCGAATAGGAAGTATAATTTTTTTTGGAAAATTACAATTCGGTATAGAATTACCTTCACAATGACATATCACAATCATACTTTTAATTCACAATCTGCTGGTATAATTGACATTTTATAAAAAAATACTTTTTGTGTTCCCCTCGTAACGGAACATTATCATGAAAGTATGCTGTGGAAGATTGAATTATTGTTGCTTACATGATATTGTTCAATCTTCCACAGCATACTTTCATGAAAATGTTCCGTTACGAGGGGAACACAAAAAGTATTTTTTTATAAAATGTCAATTATACCAGCAGATTGTGAATTGAAAGTATGATTGTGATATGTCATTGTAAAGGTAATTCTATACCGAATTGTAATTTCAAAAAAAAATAATACTTCCTATTCGAAATATAAAAATTGGATGCGCTTCCGGTCAAACCGGAAGTGACATATTTGGATTGATACTTGCTGAATTGTACATTCATAACATCAAATCGAAGTACCGAATTTGAAACATCCATACAAAATAACAACGAAAATACAGGGGGGTAAATTGGTTCCGGGTCACCCGGTATAGTCAAAAGCGCTGTGCATGTGCTACAAATTTAGCTCATTTTGCAGGAAATATGAAACTACAATCAAGGTACAATGATATCATGAAATATTGTATAACATAACCGTTCAACTCAAAAAGTTGTTTACTGATTTTGATTAAAAATGCAAAATGATCAAGTATGAGTGAATATCGAGCTTCATCGAGCTCCGCAAAATAATTAATTTTCAGAGTGGGCATATGTAATAAATAGTTGAAATTTATATTAAAATGCGTGTTGTTCATCGGCCTATTACTGTGAACTGATAACAAAAGTGTAAATTGAACAATAGAGGCATAATCGATATAAATAGGTACGATTACCAATCTGTGAAGTGAAGTGAAAAAGCCGACCTAAGCAAGGACTTTTTTGTGGACATCAGATTAAATCCAGTGCCAGTGGCGTATACAGAACAATATTCTCCACTATGGGTGAATCGGAAACAGAAGTGTCAATAAAAGACGTTTATATACTCCTGAAGGAAGTTAACAAGAATTTGAGTCAGAGAATTGAGAACATCGAAGAATCAACGAATAACCTGGCAAAAGTGTTACATTCAGAAGTTGAAACTATTAGAAAAAAAGCGGACAAACTGGAAGAAGAAAATAAAATACTGAAACAACAACTCAACAAAATCGAAAGAAAAATTATTACCAATAATCTTGTGCTGTACGGTTTACAAGAAACACCGGAAGAAAGCAAAGAAAATCTAATTTCATCCATCACACATTTATTCAGAAATAAATTGGAAGTCCACCTGGAAAACAGCCAAATCAATAATATATTCAGATTAGGTAAAAGAAACACTCATAATAGACCAATTTTATTATCACTCACTACATACCTCAAAAAAAGTGAAATCCTGAGAAATTGTTCAAAATTGAAAGGTACGGGAATAGTAGTGTGTGAAGAACTGACAACGAAGGACCTGGAGGACAGAAAAATACTACTGGGAAGTTTAAAAGAAGCAAGAGCCAAAAATAAGCACGCAGTTATTAAAGGCAGAACACTGATTATAGAAGGAGAGGCCTACACAGTAGAAGACATACAGAATTTCGATAAAGGAAACGATTATCCTACCTCACCCAATATCGAAAGAAACGTACAAAGCGAACCGTCCACCCCTTCTCCTAAAGAAGTAGATTTAGAAGAAGATCCAGCAATCCAATCATCTATAGATTCGGAACAAGAAAAAGCAACCAATTCAAAAGGAGTGTTTGCAAGCAAAGAGGCTCAAAATCAGTCAAAAATCACCACCAAGACGCGTAACATCTCATCAAACGAAACTCCCAAGAAAACAACAGAAATACATAGAGCCTTGAGGAACCAGAAGAAAAATCTGCTAGCTAGCAAACGCTAAGTATATATATATTAGTCAATACTTTTTATTATTTTTTTATCTACTATCTATTTCTTACTCCAAATTATCCATTCAGAAAAAAAATTAAATGGATGCATATATAAGAGATTACCTACCAACACAAATCTGTACTAAAGTAACCTGTTGATGATTGTAATCGATTGCTCAAAAAATCATCTATGATTAACATATTTCACAATAACATAAGAAGTCTTGCGAAACACTTTGATGAACTTACAATATTTCTTAGTGAATTCGAATGTAATTTTGATTGCATAATTTTAACTGAAACGTGGAATCTGTATGATACGGGAATATTTAACTTGGAAGGATATGACATGATTTATTGGGGGGGTGACTTAAATAAGGCAGATGGTATCCTTGTCTACATCAGGAAAGAATTACATTTTAATCATAAGATCATCGTCCTTGGGGGCGTGCATGCAATTGAGTTGACTCTTGAAGTGAATGGAAAAACTTTCAAAATTGTATCCATATATAGATCACCTTCTACAGATGTTAATAATTTCAATCTTGACTTGAATAATTATTTAGAAACCTGTAATAATAATAAAGATATTAATATCATATTAGGTGATATAAATATAGATCTCCTGAAAGAGAGTGATGATAGGGAAGAATATTTGAACTGCATGCAGGAACATGGATATATTTCAATGATTAACGAGGCAACTCGTGAACAAGGTCAAAGCAGCAGCTGTCTTGATCATATTTTTGTAAAAACTAAGGAAATATATGAGGACTTCATTCCAATAGTGTTGAAATCATCCCTCTCGGACCATTATTCGGAAATTCTGCAATGTAAGCTTCAATCTGAAAAAGAAAAATCAAAATCAAATGTATGTCAAAAAACATATATAAATTATGAAGAACTGAAAGAAAGATTAGCCCAGGAAACATGGACGGAACTGTTCACATCCAACGACATAAATTGTATTACGGAAACGTTTATTAATAAATTAAAAAAACATATAGAACAAAATAGTAAAACGATCACTATCAGCAGAAAAAACCAAAAAAGGAATCCCTGGATAACTGATGGACTTGTGAAATCGGTCAATAAAAAAAATGATATGTACAAAAAATTGCAAAAAAGCCCAGATAACTTAAACCTAAAAAATGAATTAAAAATATACAAGAACACTCTGGATGCCCTTATTGATAAAAGTAAGGCAGACTATTATAAAAGAGAGATAAATAAAAATGAGAATTGTCCGAAACACATGTGGAACTGTGTAAAAAAACTACAGAGGAAAGAATCAGTCAATAAGATTAAAGAAATACAGGTAGACACATTCATTATAGCTGAATCATTCAATAATTATTTCATCAGTGTGGGTACAAACCTTGCTAATAAAATAACGAAAACAGATCAACAATTCCACACAAATATGATTCCAAATACACTATACTTGGGTCCAACAGATGAGGGCGAAATAAGAAAGGTTGTAAAAGAGCTAAAATCAAATAAGGCCCCAGGACTAGACGGAATCGGAGTAGAAACCATTAAGAAATGCATTGACCTCTTGATTTATCCTATTGAAAGAATAGTAAATTTGGTCTTAGAAACTGGAGTATTTCCAGAAATATTGAAAATTGCTGTAGTGAAACCTCTCTATAAGTCAGGAACTAAGAGTTCCCTTACAAATTACAGACCTATTTCAGTTCTTTCAAATATCAGCAAAATAATAGAAAAAATTATAAAAAAACGAATTATCAATTTTGTACAAAAGTACAAATTAATTTCTGAAAATCAATTTGGTTTTATGGAGGGTAAATCAACCCAAGATGCAATGGCCGATTTAATCAGAAAGATGTACGCAGCGGTAGACACTAAGGAACCGGCCATATGTGTTTTCATCGATTTGGCAAAAGCCTTCGATACCGTGAGCCATCCAAATTTGATGAAGTCTCTCGAAAATATTGGATTCAGAGGAAAATCAAGTGATTTAATAAGTAGCTATTTGAATAATCGGAAGCAATGTGTACAAATTGATAACACCCTGAGTAACAATAAAACTATACGATATGGAGTTCCACAGGGCACCGTTTTGGGACCTATTCTTTTCATACTTTATATCAATGAAATGTTTAACTTACCCATTCCTGGAGATATAACTGGTTTTGCTGATGACACGGTTGTTTTCTTCAAAGATCAAGACTGGATCACACTGAAAGAGAAAATTCAAAACGCACTGCCTGTTTTATTCAAGTTCTTCAGTAGTAAACTTCTGACAGTCAATGTTGGAAAAACAGTATACTTACCACTGACCAGTTATGAACCAAACTTACCCGATTTCGACGGAATTGAAGTTAGAATTGAAAACCAATCTATGCTTCTGATGGAAAACAGAACTGTTAAATATCTCGGCATTACAGTAGATAGTCATTTGAGGTGGGATGCTCACATCAGTAACCTGATAAATAAACTCCGTTTTTTTTTGAGTAAATTTAAATATTTAAAACGCTTTTTTGATATCCATCATCTTCGCATCATGTATTATACACTTGTCCAAACACACATCAATTATGGAATTATTGCATGGGGTGGAGTAAACAACAATTATCTGAAAAATCTTGAAACACTACAGAAATGGCTCATAAAAATCATACTCGGAAAAAAACGTGACTATTCAAGTAATGATCTTTATAGGGAATCAGGGTTTCTTGATATACGCCAAACTTTTTTACTCACTCTCTTAGTATACCAACGAAAATATATTTCATCAAGCAAACACGTGCGTCATATATACAACACCCGATATAAAAAAGAAGCTTTGGATGTACCTAAGATGACCAAAACTATTGGACAGAGATGTTATGTTTTTCTTGCTCCTAAGCTTTTCAATAAAATTCCAACTGAAATTAAGAATCTCAATTCATTATCTCTATTCAAGCAACAAGCCAAGAAATGGATTAATATGAAACCAAGAAATGAGATACACTGTTTAATAGACCTCAAAAACGCAAATTGAAATGTATCCATGTTCTAAAGTCGTATCTACTTGTGAATCATTTAGTATTTAGTATATATATATATATGTGTGTGTGTGTATGTATATGTGCGTATTACTATGAGATTGTATTTTAATTATTATTATTATTAATTCTCAAATTTTTTCTGCATTTAGTATTTTAATATGTTGATTATGTGATTGTGTTTATTTACTAGACAAACTTTTTATATATTTTATTTATTTTACTGCTTTCTAATTTTTTATCAATATTTTATTTTAGTAACTCATTATCCATTTTAAAATTGTAAAATAACCTTGGTGATCCACGCGCAGGTTAGCCTTTGTGGATCTTCTCTGTGTTTATTTACCTGCACTCTATCCAATTGAAAGTATATGTAACGTTTTTATGGTGAATAAATATTATTATTATTATTATTATTATTATTATAAAACATCTTTACTTCCTATATATACCGGGAAAATTTGGCTGTACCTGAAGATTCTATTCCTAAGACAAATACTTAGGTATATTCTTCCCAGAAAAATATTCTGACAATCTTATAGCAAGAGCATTTTGATGGGTTTTGAAGTGAACATCTCTTCTTTCAGTGTAGTAGATAATTATATCTGCCTAGCGTAGTCAACTCCACGTTACCTTCATCAGACCCCATACCAAGCGTGAAATGAAAACCAGAACGAGAAATCATATTTTGTTCAAAATATCGTCAATCTATTCGCAATATGGTATCAAAATCGTACAAATTCACGCTTCTCACCTTCGGCGTTGTTTGATGCGGTCATATTATATGAAAGAGAGGAATATATACCGTTTATAAAACCATTTGGAAAACTGATGTTTTTTTTGTCGGACCACCTACGCTATCATTGATGCCGTTAATGTCTCAATTACCTCGCTCCCTAAACTGAACTTTGACGAAATTACCATAATGTTGTGGTGAGTACCACCATCAGTTTGGTACGGTGTTCCATGGGCATATCCTGCGGAAACACTAGTCTGAAGATCTATCTAATAAATGGTTATAGTGTCGGCTAGAGTCATCTAGAAAATTATTTACACCCAGTAAGCGAATTGTTATTGAATAATAATAATGAATGTTGTTTTCTTTACGTTACCCTGTCTTTGCTCCATGAAAATCCATTGGACCTCTAAAAACTTCTCAGAAATTTACCTTCAAAGTTCGGTATCATAAATATATAGTAACTTCTTCAAGTGAAATTCTTCCATCTTTGTCATTCTAAATAATTGTCCGTTTACTGACTCTCAATAGCCTGTCAACAGCTCACTAATTTCAATTGAATATTTTATATCGCACGTTGAGAGCAATAGTGTGATAATTCAAAATTCTTCGTTTTGAGAAAATCGATGAATTTGTCTTTGATAGTGAACCTCATTCAACGCGAAAAGTATATTTAGTTCAAATCATGTTATGTAATAAGCTCACATTGAAAATGTTTACTAATATTTTCGAATATTCTTTTCCAATTTTTCAAGAAAAAGTTTCGACATATTACAGTTTTGATTAATCATATAAGTATTCGACAATCTTAAGATTGTTAAGATGTCACACTTGTTAAGATGTCACACTTGAAAAGTAGCAATTTTCTGAGATATTACATCTCAAAAAATTGCCATTTAACATGTATTAAAGTTATTTTTGTTCAGTTGTAGACCCCATTATATTCATGACTGGATTTATTGAAGATGTGGTCTGTGTTCCTATATTATTTCAGCAAAATCCAAATCGTGCCATTTGGTTGCTGAACATTCCTCTTTCTATTTTCTTTAGTTTCTGACTAGAAACAAACGGTATTAGCGACAAGACAGATTTTGAGTTGAATAGCATAATGAGTTTCAATGAAAATTCGCATAAAGTTGAAATGCCATAGGTTGGGGAGAGAAGTGACCATAGGCACGAATAAGATATAGGTAAATTTTCTGACAGAAGGAAATACCTATTATGAATTATATTATATTTTTCAAAATTGGAATTTGAACATAAA